AGCAGAGCAGGGGGGGGGGGGGGGGGAAAACAACCAACAAAACCCCTCTCAGCCACCTCAATCGCAGAGTAAATTCTTTTCTGTCAACCAGATCCTGAGAAATGCAACGTTGCTCCAGCGCAAGCTGTTGGTTTCCCCATGCCAGTGCTCCCAGCACACCGGCTCCCAGCCCCGGTCTGCACTCCTCCCGAGGCAGAGCTTGCGAGCCACCGGGCGAGCTGCGAGGAGCCTCAACCCGCCACGGTTCCTCCCAGCCCCCTCGCAAACTGCGAGATGTTGGGCAGAGAGAGAGAAAAAAAAAAAAAAGAAAAAAAAAAGGAAAAAAAAAAAAAAACCCACACACAAAAAAAAAAAAAAAAAAAAAACCACCCCCCAAAAAAAAAAAAAAAAAAAAAGACAACACACCAAGCTTTTTTGAAAGCTTTGAATTTCAGCCAAACTGCCCAGGACAGGGGTGCAATATTCCTCCCGAAGTGTGCACAGCGCCAACGAGCGACCCCAGCCAGGAAAGTTCTCCTGCAGCAGCGGGAGACCCCTCCAGTGCTGCACGGAGCAGAGAAACCCCCCAGCCCCACAGCGCAGCGCGGGGACCAGCCCCGAGCCAGACCCGCTCCCCGAAAGCTGTCCCTACCCCCGTGCGGGGAAGCCAGACCCCCGCTGCATCGTCCTGCCCTTTAAACGTCGCTTCCAGGGTCCCTGACCCCCCGCTTCTCGCTCTTAAACGGAGCCCGAGGGTTTGCTTTTCCCAGAAAAGGCTCCTCCGCTCCTCCCTGAAGAGCCCAGCGCCCTGAACCCGGCGACTCCGGGGTCCCTTTGGCTACTCCAACACGGGCAGGCTGCTCTCACGGCTCTGGGGTTTATTTGCTCGAGCCACTACCTTATAATTCATAAATATCTGAACCGAAAAACCCAGCGGTGACCGAGGTCAGGCGAGCCGGCTGACCGAGAATTCCTTCCCAGCCCCGACAGCCTGGGACAGACCTTTCAAGACATTAACGCGTTTATTTCACGCAGGCGTAGCCCCTTTCCTAAAGGGAGGGGGGGGATTAAATTCAACCGTGAAACCTGTTTTGTCGAAGCAACCCCTCTAAACGCGGATTATTTATTGCCCGAAGTTTGCACGTTTCCAAACGTGCTGTCTCCGAAAGCAGTGATTTTCCCCAGCGAGCCCAACCAGGCGCCCAAATTCTCCCCGAAAGCCACCCGCACAGGCACACACACACACACACACACGCGTGTCTGTGCCTGCGGGTGTGTAACACGAAGGCAGCACGTTTTACTACTTTAGCCTGAGCTTAATATTTTGGTCCGAGGTAAACCTTTTCAGATTTTTTTTTCTTTTCTCTCTTTTTTTTTTTCCCTCCTCGTGCTGCTGGCAAGGGGAATACCAACACTTCACACACAGTCAATGCAGCCTCTTTACCAGGACAATATATATTTACACATTGACACATGGAACAACTAAACGTAAAATATACGGAGATAATACCCGCTAGAAGTAAACACTGCCAGCCAACTGATTATTTAGAGGCCTTAAACGGGCTATGTCAAAATGAAGAAAAACAGAAGCGCCTTCTCCTGCTAAGAATCAGCTCCGTTATTAAAAATCCATAAAGGCAATAAGCTATCAAACCTCGCTCGGCGGGTCTCTCGCAGAAAATACATACATAAAAAAGAGAAGCATCGCTGGGGTAGGTTTGTGTACTTTGCACCCATCTCCTCTCGGAAAACTCTCTCATCAGGGATAAAGCAGCCGTCATTCTGCATCTTCACCCATTATCACCCCGAGCCACTTTTACTCTCGAGCCTGTTATTACTCTTTCGCCGAAGAATGGCCACATATGTTTTTAAAGGAGGGATGACGCTTCTCTCAGAGAACACGGGGCTCAAATATCCCTCCCCAATTCCGCTGCAGCCAGGAAAGACCTGAATATTGGCAGCAGAGTGCAAAAGGACCCCAACCCTTTAAATCGCCCCCCTGGAACTAGGCGAGGGACACGATCTGTCTACTTAAAAAGCACCCTAAAATGTCAATTTTGTACCATTTAAGTGATCAGGTAGGTCAAGCCTTGGTGTCTCTCTGGCAAGCTGCAGCACAAGTCTGTCTCAGTTTCCAGGACAGAGTCCCTCCAAGGAGTTTTTTACTGGACTACATTTCCAGAATCTCCCTGGTCTTTGGGACAGTCCCATAAAATAAGTTGCTCACACCACTACAGACGACGCGAAAAAACCCACTCTTCAACGCCCAGCCTGCAAACGGGCACACACCCCCGGCTTTTCCTCGACTTTTCTGAAGACTGGAGGAGTGAATCAAAGTTTCTAGAGAGGCTGAAAAAGTGACTCTCTCACTTGCACAGAAATGCGATTTTTTCTGCTCATTTTTTTTACCTGATTATTTGCAAATATTTAGAGCCAACAGAGAGCAACATCCCGCGTTCCGTCCTGCCAAGGCCATACAATCGCAAAACCACCCGCCAGCAACTTCCCAGTGCTGCCCAGAACCAGCACGAGGAGCCCACCCGGGACATCTTTAAGCTCTGACAAAGGATTTCACCTAAATTTACCCTCCCCGGGCTCGGGGGGAGAAAAAAAAATACCAACCGGAGAAAAGAAATTCAAAAAAACCACACACACACACACCACCACCCCCCCCTCCCGCGTCCCACAGACACATCACCTTTGCTCCGAAGGCTCCAGCAACCCGCACGCCC